GAGAGCGTGCTCCTACCCTGGACGAGCCGACCTATTCGTGCTTCAACCATATTATAACTGCAGCGTAGCTCGGGCTTCGTCATTTATATTAAAAGGAAACTCACAGAATGGCTGGCAACAAAATGTTTTTATAGTTTAGACTAATAAATCTACAATAATGGTGAAATATGGAAAAACTGATTAATTTTTTTACATATAATATAATTTGTTTAATTTTTTTAAGTTATTAGACATTTGTATATAAACATTTAAATAGTTAATTAAATATTTTGACATGTATGTTTTGTAATTTAAAAACTTGACACTGATATATTTTTAAATAATTACATAATTATATTTTTTTAATAACTTAACCTCATTAAATTGTAATAATAATATATTTTTTTAAATTGTAAAGATATTGTACGCCATTACCATTGCAGAATGTAAGGTTTAATTAATAAATAACAACAACATAAATTATGTACTACATTCTGACAATAAATACATTTGAATTTGAATCCAATTGAGTTTGCCCCGACCCGGGATTCTAACCCGGAACCTTATGCATATAATTTAATATGTGATGCGCGGAGAGGTCAACATAACGACTTTACTTTTTCTTGACACTCGATTTAGTTCTCTATTTAATTTGAGTAACCTGACGCTACATAAGAAAACCGATTCTTAAAAAGTAAACTTTAAAAAGATTGAAATATAATTAAAAAACCGATTCCTTATAACTGGGGCTCGGATTAATATGTATATATAATATCAAAAAATGTACATGTAATATAGACTTAAAATCCTAAAATATGGAAAAAATATGTGTAATAAAAGATAACGACGTTGTACATTAAAACGATTTCCTATTAAGAAAAACCAAAAAAAAAATAATACAATTTTACTTAGCTTATGTTTCATTATTATTTGAACTACAGTATATAATTACGTATTTCCTTAAATTTTCAAAATTAAAACTCTTTCTGTTTGGACGAAATAATGCTTTATTCTGGCTGAATGATTTTTCAACATCATAGGATGTGATTGGAGCATATTTAAATTTGCATAATTCTGCAAGTGAGTGGGGCACGTCTATGGTGCCTTCTAATGTTCCACACAGCATACTGTTGATTTTCTTTAGGGTATGAAATTCTTTGTTTTTTTTTTCCAGTACGTAGAGTAATTTTTGCCTCGCTACTTCAGCAACGGGACCTTCTGATTCAAATTTTTTTTTTCGATATTTTCGATAATCTGCAAATTATCATTTAGAGAAGTGGAAGAATTTTCGAGTGCTTTTATATGGTATGATAAAAAGCAATAATTGCTTTTTATGGATATAAAGCAAATAGTTGCGTAGTGTAATCTTGGAGAAGTTCTTTTGAGATTGAAATATCAGCAGCTTTATTCTCCAATTCAAAAATAATCTTTTTGATTTCAGTGTAATACTGGGCATAGTATTCATTTGCTGACAGCCAAGTTCCCCAGCGGTTCAGCTCTGGCTCTAGCGGTAAAGAAATGTCGGGATACATCTCCTTAAATTTTAAGATCCTGCTTGCTGCTTTCAAAAACTTTTTCTTTACGTTTGATACTAAACTGTCAGCCTTTTTAAACTGAGACCTTATTCATTCAGCTAATCTATTTATACCATGAGCCAAGCACTTCACATGAATAGTTTTTGGATACAAAACTTGTGGGGAATCTACAGCTTTTACCATACAAGGAGCAGCATCGCTAAGTAGCAAGAAAACTTGGTCATCTTTAACTCCATCAGGCCACAAAACTCTCATTGCATCATTAAAAAGCTTTACTGACGTTTGGTGGTTGCATTAAAGAAGTTCTTCACACGCCAATAAAAAGGATTTGCTGGCATTTTCGTCATCTAAAACTCATTTTTAGGCATTTCACAGAGCTGCTGATCCATCTAACATAAAATAATGAAGATATGGATAAATTTATTTAATTTCTTGTGGAATATTGATTTATACTTGAAATATGGAAAATAGAAATTGCATTTTCTTGATCAAAATATCATAATTTAACCAAAAACCATTTCAATAAAAAAAATGGATTTACATATTAATCCGGGCCCTACTTATAACCAGTCCGAGCAAGCTCAAAATGATTGTGCTAGAAGTATTAAACCACGATATGTAGTATTATGACGGATTTCTCACACGCTTTTTAAGTCCACATCATTAGCATAATATCATTTTAAGTAATGAAATACTTTGTCAACATTAATATTTGCATGACAATTTTATGGCTGAACCAGCGGATCTCTTGTTTCATTACATATATGAACTACAGTTACATAATCATCTCTGTTGTAATCTGTTCAAGGTAATTAGAGCCATTCATTCATGAATCTTTAACCACAACTTCCTTGTGAATCGACGACCAACAGCGATTTTTCCGGAGTCCGGACTGATACGACTTAGGGAGTTTCAAGAAAAGAGCCTGCTCTTTTTTAAAAAGGCCGGCAACGCATCTGCAATTCTCCTGGTGGTGCGGTTGTTCATGAGCGATGGTAGTCACTTACCATCAGGTGAGCCGCATGCTCGTTTGTCCCGTTTTATATAAAAAACCCTGTAATAATAATAATGTTTTCTCGACCGAATTTCACGGCGGCCAGCCTCAACGTACACGAGCACAAGCACAGGTGCACTCTCTATTCCCTTATCCTCACGGTCCAATGGGATAGTAAACCGACACGACCGGTTAGAGATCGGACGCAGGACCAACAGCTTTACGTGCTTTCCGAGGCACAGGGGTAGGACACCGCCAACTTCCCAATTCCGGGCAGCTACTAACAATTACTTGACAGTAAAACTCAATACTTGATTTTTGGCCCAACCCGGAATTCGAATCCAGGAGCTCATGATCACCAGTTGCACTACTACAACCACTAGACCAAGGAGGCAGTCAACTAAAAAAAACCTGTACGCTGGTTGTTATACAGTTTTTAGTAATTATTAGTGTATCTCAAAATGGGGATGTATAGATTTCACGTTAGGTTTTTTTGATAAAACCGTAGTGACAAACGAATGTATAGCCTACTTGATTATAAGTGGCTCCTGCAGTTCATGGACGTCTGCGGCTAGCTTCCAACGAAGCAGGCTACAGATGCGTTACCTCAGGACTAAGATGGAATGCCTCGTACAGTAATTGTACTGGATATCTACGGTCTGGTAAATAAGCTGTCAGTGTTTGCAACTGAAGTTTATTATTTTGGTTTTGTAGGAAAATACTACAGCATTTCTTATAGAAAAAGAAAATCATTGGGATGACCACATACATAATTCTTGTTTATATAAGGTCGATGAGAAAGATGAATTCCCTTATCCTGCTTTAAGATAACTTCTTTTTGAGGAGGTTAAAGATGCATTGACTTTGATTCAAGTGTTACTAAATTCAAGAAAGATTTTAAAAAGCCAAAATGTGAAAAACACTAATTTTACTTGAGAAAGAACATACAGTAACTAAAATTTCATAAATTTCATTTTAAGAAATTAAGTTGTTTATGTCGTTTTATTTACTATATTTTATATTTGCGTTGCTTTAAATTTACAAGTGTATAATTACAATATGCTAAATGGAATGAGTTTGCAGACAATGTCATCGCGTCTTGAGAAATGCAAGGCGAAACGATATACTAAATTACGAACTAAATCTGAGCCGGCGAATGATTTCGGCGGGTAGCCGGTTATCCGTGTACAGAACTATCCGGCAAAATTACCCAGTGGCTTGCACTTAAACTGAGCACGCAGCGCCCGTGTCTAATATATTATTCAATATATTATTGAAAATTGATTACATACTCAAAGTTGATTAAAGGGTGGTTGTTATAATGGTGTAGAAAAAAATAATTTTATTACAGGTTAATAATGCTTTTTTTCTTAGACTTTAATAAATAATAATGATTAATATCACAATAAGTGTGTATTTTTCAGATCATTTTAAATAATAGAAACCTTGTGGTTCCCGTCTAGTGCGTTATTAGAAACGTTTCACAAAATATGTTTACTTGAGAAAACCAGACCTTAAAAAAATTAAATAATTTTAAATTTTGTAAATTGTTTTATTACCTCTCACACGCGTATCGGTAAAGCAGATTCTTTTACAATACGTACCACAGTTTATTAAACATCTTACTCTCCGGCCAATGGAGAGGTAATAAATAAAATCATATACAATTTTGCAAGATAAAAATATATTGGAATTTTATTAAATATGTATATGGACAAGTTTTCTGAAATAAAGTTATTTCTATATATTTCTATACAACAGAACCTTTGTTACATTTTATACTATATCTGAGTGTCTATTGTGATAACGGACAGGTCAATGGACTGGACAATAAATACCAAGAGAGTGGTGGTGTAGTATTTGTGTGCAATAACTTTGGCTAAAATAAATTATTATTAGAAGAAATTTTACCCTGTGAGCTGAAATTTGTTCTTATCATGTTTAAACGTGTTTTGCTAGCTCTATAATGTCTAATCTCCCTATTTTATACAATCAAGTACAAACCTATCCTAAGTAATATATTTTCATTGGATTCGCTTACAAAATATTTTTAATGCATTTCATTTGAAAATACCGAGGACTGCTCAACCCATAGCTCTTAGGTAAAAGAACAATAAATTAATTTAATTGCCGACAAACTTAGTTTTCCCGCTAACTATCATTATTTACGCATTTTTTTTCAAAGCAGAATTTTCTTTATAAATATCGTCTTAAATATATTGCACTCCACGCCCCTTATATTAATGAGAATTTAGGTTTCAATCAATTTTTGTAAACCATATTAAATTTAAAAAATCTTTCAGACAATTCTCGTCAGATATTCTTTAAAATAAATTTTCTGCCTTATAAGTGGCCTTTCAAAACACTATATTAACTCCTAAAGTCTTAATAATACTAGAATAAAATTTTTAATCGATTTGTGTTAAACATAATAGATTTTAAAAATCTTGTTGACATTTAAAAATTATGTAAAATAACAAAAATGAACTCACGCAGATTTCCCGGAAAGACCCCAGCCGCTAAGCAAAAAACCGCCAAAATATATACTTGGGCATGCATTTTGTAAAATATTAATATCAAAAGTTTAATGTATGAAGTTAGTTTGGAGCCAAGTTGTTAACGTTCGACAGGCTCTACACTGCATTGGATTTTTAAAACGCCAGCCTTTTTATATGTTACGCAAACTTTTAACGAGAATGTACCTCGACGCAGTACACGCATGCACACTTTTACAGTGGACAAAACTATGAATTTAACATTTGTTGACTACTGTATTGTATTGCAGTATAACCATAATTTGAATTGCAAATGATGGTAATTGGTTACTAGAGCACGTCAGGAAACGCAACCACAAAAAAATGTTTTTTTTTTACAGAACAAGCAAAATGGTTAAAACAGTATTTTTTTTAAAAAACCGAAATTCGCAAAAAATCTTTCACTGTCTTTTATATGAGCAGATACGATATATAAATATTATATAGCCTATGTCACTCTCACAATTAAGAGGCATCTAATGAAAGCTTATATGTTAAAATCTATCGAGCCGTTGAGACTACAGAGCGTGCCAAGAAATAGACATACATACATACATATATATATATATATATATTATTTTTTATGTAATATGTATGTATGTACATACTATCATGAGGGGTATATTGCCATAGTTGCCACGCTTGGCAAGCGGGTTAGCAACCACAGTTTTTTTTTATATTATACCTCAAACTCTAAAAAATAGATTGTACAACCAGTGTATTTTGCCAGGGATGACGTACGGATCTGAGATCGTGAGACGTGATCCTTCACTGCTGGTCGTATTAGGACGTTCAAGGTCGCTAAGGGAGCTCCATAGCTGCATAGAACTTAGAAATGAGGATATCCGTAGTACCAGAGTGACCGACATAGTCCAAAGGATTAGTAAGCTGAAGCGGCATTGGGCCGGCCATATAGTTCGAAGAACCGGTAACCGTTGGGGAAAAAAGGTTCTCAAGTGGCAGCCTCGTACCGGTAGGCGAAGTGTAGGGTGACCCCCCACTAGATGGAGTGACGACCTGCAGGAAGTCGATGGATGTAGGTGGCTCAGGACCGTGCTTTGTGGCATACCTTGGGGGAGGCCTATGTTCCGAAGTGGGCTTGTGAAGGGCTGTAATGATGATAATGATGATGTACATACTCTCGAAAAACAATACGTTCCTTCTGGGCTATTAGTTATGAGACACTCTACCTTAATTTGGTCATTAAGGACGTAAATAGTAATAGTAGTAGTAGTAAAAAGTAAATAGTAGTTTAATCCTGCTGGGTTTCGTATGGTGAGCGGAGGGAACCGGAGACCCTTATTACTGTTTTTTTTTATAAAATAAGGGTGAGAAATGAGCACACAGTCCAACTGATGGTAACCGGTTGCTAAGGCCCATAGACACCTACATCTATCCCCTATTAAGTATCAAATTGTAGATGCTTCTGAGGATTAAGATAGAATGCCTCATTACCGTTTTTTTGTGTTAGAGCCACGTTGCAGCTATATTATAGTTGTAGCGCGAATGAGTTGGATCGACCAGGGAAGGACCACGCTCTCACAGAATACCAGCGTAAAACTGTTGTGTTTCGTATGGTGAGTGTAGAGAACCGGAGATCCTTTTTACTGAAAACGAGGCATTCCATCTTAGTCCTCACGGGTGACAACGCATCTGCATTTTGATTTGTAATCGATGATATATGTAGATGTCTGGGCCACAACTACCACTTACCATCCATCCATCAGGTGGACTGTGTGCTCGTTTGTCACCCCTATTCAATTAAAACATTTAGGAATAACCAACCATAAATGAAAATTTTAAACTGAAAATTGCTTGCACATGATGTATCTACAACATTAAATAAATTTGCGTACACATTTAAACGTTTAAAAAACGTAGCATACATATAAAAGTCTGTTCTGTTCTACCATACATACGTAGTGTCAATACTGCGCTATGGACTTATAATCTGGGGTAAAAGCACGGATCAAAGTAGAGCAATTAGTGCACAAAAACTGTATCAGAGCAATATGTGAGAAATTTTTATACGTATACTGGCACTTTCGTTTTCTTGATGATCTAATAAAGAGAGGAAAACAAGAACAGATGTATCACCCCCCTGGTGTTACTATTATTAGTTACTATATTGCAGATGCGTTCCGGCTTTTTAAAAACGAGTAAGCGCTATTTTTAAAAGCCCTATAAGTCCCAAAAACTGTTGGCGAAAGCCGGTTCCACAAAGATGTGCGAAGAAGAAAACTTCTGGTAAAATTGTCATTTGACTTGAAATTTGACGGCTGGAATTTGTAGAATTTGTATAGTAAAATAGTTATGATACCTAGCTGAATAATATACCTTTTTTCAAAAATATCATTAGCATCAAGACAATAGAAGATGTACAACACTTGCTCGTGGAATGTTCCAAAAACCATCACGAAAGGAAATTACTAGTCGCCAATTCTGACATTAAAATATGTAACATAGGTGAATATCAAAGCATTCTGTCTAAACCACTGTAAAATGCTGCTCAAATGGTGTATAATTTAGTTAGTATTTTGTCCTTATTATTATAATAACTCTTTCTATACAATCTTTGTTTAATAGTTTTTGAACTTAGCAGAGGACAATACATACATGTACATACAAATAATGTTTGTTTGTTCCTATTTTATGCGCTGCCATACCGTTCGTCAGATTGCGGTAAATCTTGGCAACTTATTACTTGCACTTGCGCTCGTATTGTACAGAAAAAAATTATTTGAAAGTTACATATTATTCAACTTCAGTGTATATATTATCACTCTTAATTAAACAATATAAGAAAAATAAATTTAAAACGTTATTGCCACAATAATTATTTCTACAGCGGCTGCAACGCCCCTGGTGCCAGTTAGTTTTGTACATTTATTGAGATTTGTTAGAAGCGTATTACATTAGCATTATGAAATAATACTAGTTTTTACGGAATTTATCGCGTATATTTAACTTTTTAAATACCCGACGTTTCGAACGCTTTACAGCACTCATGGTCACGGGCAGGACTGAGATGTTCAACGTCCATATGTCATAGTTAACCGCGGTTACCATAGATTAAAATTTAACTTTTGTTCCGATCTATGCAGTATGAACTTATGGTATCTTGAAGTCTTGCAGTTGTATGCTTGGGTTGGGATTTAATTTTATTTATTATAGGATCCCAAGCATATGGTAGCACCCAGCCATCTTCTCTATTGAAATTAGGATGTTTTTTGATTTCAATAGCCTCGCGAATCATCCTTGGAAGGAATCGGTGTTCTTTAGCGAGGATCTGCGGTCTATCAAATCTGATGTAGTGACGGGGGCGATCCTGTACGTGTTCACAGACTGCAGACTTCCCGGAGCGTCGATTCTTCACATCAGCTATATGTTCTTTAACGCGGGTTTTTATTGATCTTTTAGTTTGTCCTATGTAGGAGAGACCACATTCACAATCAAGCTTGTACACTCCTGCATCTTGCAGAGGGACATTACACTTGACCGATGGTAAAAACTGACCAATCTTCTTCAGCGGCTTGAAGTATGTGTTGATGGAAGCGCGCTTCAAGATGTAGCCAATCTTGTCAGTGACTCCTCTAACATATGGCGGTACAACAGGTACATGCTCGACTGTGGCCGGCTTCACTCGTTCACTGTGACGTAGGCGCGGGACTCGAAGCTTGTTGTCATGCAAAACTTGCTTGACATGGTGGAGCTCTGCAGCCAGGTGTTTACTGTCACAGATCCCTCGTGCTCTCTGAAACAAAGATTTACCCACCGTAGCTAACTGTGAAGGATGGTGGTGAGAATCACCGTTTAAATATCTATCTGTATGGGTCTTTTTTCTATACACAGTATGGCTCAAGGTGTTCAGAGCAACACCTTATGCCATGCCTCATGATAACACCTTATGATAACACTCTCGGGAATTTGGCCCATTTTTAGTATATCGCCAATTTGGTCGACAAACTTCCGCCTAGGACGTCCCTTTCCGACTCTTCCATTCACTTCTGCAACATATATTTGCTTTGTCAGTCTTTCCGCATTCATAAATATAAATAAGTATATAATTAATATACTAACATAAATAAATAAATAATACATTACTTACTTACTTACTTACTTATCTTCACGCACAATCCCTAACGGGGTAGCCAGAGAGAACAGATCGCCAAGTGTCACGATCCTTACATACCTCTTTCGCTTCTTTCAGGTTCATTAACTTCTTCATACATGCACGTCTAGGTATCCGAGTACTCTTGACCCTCCCCTCTTCGAGCAATTTGCTCACATGGTCTTCGAAAGTTAGTCTCGGTCTACCTCGACACCTTTTAATATTTACTTTCGCTCTATATATTTTCTTCACCATTCGGTCTTCACTCATTCGTTCAAAGTGCCCAAACCATTGGAGTACGCCCCTATCAATTTTTGTGATAAGGTCATCTTTCAATCCCGCCATATTGCGAATATCTTCGTTTCGCTTTCGGTCGGCTAAGGTAACGCCACACATTTTACGAAGAGATCGCATCTCCACTGCATTCAACTTGCTTTTATGCTTCTTCTGGCATACCCAGGTTTCGCTGCCATATAACAAAGTCGGTACCAACACTGCATTATGTATTGCGAGGCGTGCACTCTTCACCACGCCTTGCCTTTTTTACTAATGCATTCAGGGCACCATTGACTTTGTTTCCGGCAGCGACACGCCTATCCACATTTAAATCACATCTTCCATCCCGTTGAAAGCACTCCCCAGGTATACAATTTCATTTACCTGTTCTAGACATTCCTGATTTACCCATATTTCACATTTCGTTCTCTCTTCGTCCTTTTCAAATACCAGCAATAATACATAAATAATACATAAAAAACTAAAAGCCCAACTAGATGTAAGCCTTCCGCAAGGGAGACCAAACGGCCGAAGGTTAGGAGGAAGGGGAATGAAAACGGCGAACGATGCGAGCGGTATCAAGGAGCAACGCTTTCTACATTTGAGCCCGGAGCGGTTCGCACAGCCCGGAGTGGTCC